GTCCAGGTGACACCTTGGGTGTCATCCAGTTGGCGATGGGAGCCATGCAGACCCTCGAGCCAGAGAGTGCGTGATCAAAGAGATCAGCCTCGCCAGCTCTCTATGGTTACATCATGCCTCACGATTTTCATACACGCGTTCCGCCCAGCCACCTTTTCTGGAGCACCTACTAAAACGCTCTTCATACCAAGCACGGCTCACAATGTCTCCAGGACTCGGCCGCTTCAGAGCTATACAGGCACCCCCTTTCCTGCCATTTCCCCACCCAACTCACTCTCCTGACCCCACGATCCGGCTCCACCTGGCATCTCCGAAGGAGCGTGCTCCTTCCATGCCTCCCTGCCCATACGCAAGCCCCTTCTGGTGGCCTGCCCCTTCCCACTTCAGCCCTTCTGCAGGAGGCTCTGCTTGGAGCGCATTCCTGAGGGAGGCCTCTCTGATGCTCCTGGGCAGCTCCTGGTCCTCCCCTGGCCCCTCCAGATGGCACATCTGCTGCTGACCTTACACGGTGTGGCTTTTACTTGTGAATCTGTGAATCAAAAAGTCAGCGGCTTGAGGTCAGGCACTGCCTATTGATGGTAGCTGTCTTTCCTGGGGCCCACTGAGGACCCGGAGCAGAGCAAGCTGCTGAGAAGCATTGAGTAACTGAAAAAAATAGAAATAGCAATGATCTGGCCTGGGCCTTGACCTAGCAAATCTCACTGAACTCATTGCGGTATCTCTTTGGGACATGTGTCACTCTTTCCATCTTGCCGGGCATATGTGACTGGGGATATGGGAGTTTGGGCAACCGCTGATCTGCAGACCTGGGATTCAACCCAGGTATGCCTCAGCCCTGGTCCTCCTGTTCCCCGGGGTTCGGGGCCAGCAGCTCCAGCCCAGGATGGAAACACGTGGGGTCAGAGAAGCCACACAACTTCCTCTCCCTCACCTCTCTCCACTTCCCACTCAGCTGGGACAACTCCTACTCATTTTCTCAAGATCCTTATCTGCTCCTGCACTCGGGGAAGTTTCCCCATCCCTCTCATACCACCCAGGAGAGGTGGGGGGTGGGGGAAGGAGTGTTCCATGTGGTCACTGGGCTTGAGTAAGTATCTCTCCTCCCTGTGACTTCCCCACCTCTGCACCAGGGCCTGGGAAACCCCACTCAGGTCTTCAAATAAAAGGTCCGGGCACTGCGGGATTGGCCAGGGACGAGCTCTTAGCTTCACCAGACACATCGAGACCACTGCCAAGAGGTGTGAGCCACACTGTGCAGGATGAAGCTCGTCACCATGGCCCTGGCGTGCATGCTGCTGGCTGGGATGTGGCTTCAAGACGTGGAAGGCAGGAGCAGTGAGTGTGGCTGGAGTCACTTTGCTCCTCTGGGGGGTGGGGGGCAGACACCCAGGCAGGCACTCTGGGCTTATGGGCAGGGCTCGCCTTGAACTCAATGCCTCTGTCTCTCCTCCTCTGGGAAGAGTTCCTAGTAAAAAGGGTGAATGGAGAACTTGGATGGGATGGGACCAGGTGTCTGGGTGAGCACAACATCTGAGCTGCTAGCTTCAGCAAAAGGAAACCCTGCCTCATCCAGGGAGCTCTGAGGCTCTTTAAGCCAAATTGGGAGGCCTGTGGTGCAGAGGAGGGACTGGGTCTTGCTTGCACCCAGTAACAGATAACAGGGAGATCCTGAAGTCAGGACCGGGCACTGTTAGGCAAGTGTTGGGTCAGTGACTTGGCCAAGTCACTTTACCTCTCCAACTGTGCATTCCCTGTTGGTAAAATGGGATTGATAATGCTGGACCTCAGGGCTCTTGAGAGAGGACTGACCTCTCTCTCCAGGCACATGGTACCTGCTAAGAACTCCAGGCACATGAAAGACGTTGTGCAAACAATAAAACTAGAAGCAAGGAACCAGGATTGGAATTTGAGTCTCTTGGGGATGGGGTGTGGGAGAGAGTGTGCAAACCTGCACAGTGGGGGTGGGAGCCCGGACAGAGCTACGGGCCTGGGTAGAGGGCATTCTAGAGAGAGGGTGGGAAGCCTCTTAATTCCTGGAAGCTCTTTCCTTGTCATTCTATCAGTTGGAACTCCTTGAGCAATTCCTAATCTGGCCCCCAAACCATGGCCCATGGTTGTCCTGCACGCACCAGACTCACTGGGCCCACCGAGTATGGGGTCCAGAGCCCTTGAACACAAATATTGGGCCAGAATTGTGCACTCATGGTGGGATGTCAGAACTGGAAGCACCTTTAGAAACCAGTCCAAAAAGTCCTATTTGACAGACAGGAAGTCTGGGGCCCAGGCAAGGGCTCATCCTGATCAAAGCCACACAGCTGGTTTGTGGGGAGCTGGGATCTGAACCCCAGTGTTCCGACCCTCTGCCTATATAAGTGACTAAGTGACACTGGGCTGGATGTGGTCCCCAAGCCTGGGCCTGTCCCCAGAAGGGTTTTTGGTTTTTTTTAAACCACTTGGATGAGAGGAATGAAGTCCAGGTTAAGAAACAGATGCAAACCATTTTTGTGCTTCTCTTCTAGTGCATGTGTCATCCTCCAACTGTTGTTTCGTCTTTGTGGAGAGAAAGATTCCCCAGCGGATAATCCAGTGTTATAAACGCACCAGCTCCACCTGCTCCCGCAGGAGTCTAATGTGAGTTGTTCCTACCCTGGTCAGGAATTCCTGACTCCCTCCTCCGGAGAGCGGAAACCATCCTGCCTGGAATTAGAATGGCAGACGCTAGATGGCGCTGTTCCACCAGATTCAGGTTTCTAAACCTGGAGTGAGGCCTCCAAAATCTGGGTGCAGAGCTCAGCATGGGCGCTAGGGGGAGCGCCGCGCTTCTTAGCGGGCGCCAGGAGGGATGCCCCCCTACGCTCCTGCAGTGACTTGTGTTTCTCGCAACCCCAAGGTGCCAAGTATTATATCCTAATATTTTATGCCCAGAAGCAGTAATTGCTTAAAAGCTCTAGGAATTACTGCTGGGGTGTTCCTCCCAGTGTGCATGCCACAGGTCTCCCGCAATGACTTCATTTTAAAAGCCCAGAGCGAGTAGCTTGGGGGCACCCCAGAGCGGGGGATGGGACTTGTGTGTGGCACCCCAGGGGGCAAATCCTGTGACTCAGCTCCTCCTTTGTTCTTTGCCCACAGAATCAAGCTGAGGGGCGGCAGAGAGACATGTGTCTTGGAGACAGCCTCATGGGTTAAACATCATTTAAAAACTATGAAACCATGCCCGCTAAAGTAAATGTGGGAAGATTTCTTTCCATCCTGGACTCCGAAGATGGCGTGGCTTCACCTGTCCCCCCAACCCCCCACCCCACACCAGTCCTTCTGCCCAGCTTTGCCAGGTCACGGAGGGTCTGCTCAGTCCTGATAAGCTATGTTGTTGCACTTTATATATTTAAATGTTAGAATCTTCGATCCCTGCCTCTCTGGGCTTCTTGGATCCCACAGGTATTTCAGGGTATAAGCTTGATTGGCAGTAAGAAGCTGGGGCCAGGGGCAGGTGGAGGGGAGCAGGGAGACATGTTGAAACTGATGCCCAAAGAACTGACTTCTTTTCCAAAAGAGCCAATAAATGGCTTACACTTCTCAGCTGACTGACTTTGTCTTTAGGGGTTGGGATGAACGTTGAGTCAGGACCATGATAGAGATTCTCTGTTTCCCCTGGCAGCAGGGGAAGGCATGGTGAAGCAGAAAGTGGGAACCCAGAGTTGGGGTTCCAGAAGCCACAGCTGCCCTAGCTAGAGGGGATCTTGTGAGGTCATCCATCTGTAAGATGTTGCTAGCCCCATTTTATAGATGAGGTGCCTGATGGTTGGCGAGAGACAGAGATGGGCCTGAGGTTACAGAGTGAGTCAGGGTCCGATCTGGTGTTAGAGCCCAGGGCTCCTGCTTTCGGGGTGAGAACTCTCTCCTGTGTCCCAAGCTGCCCAGTGACTGCCTGATACAGCAGGAGGGAAGGGACCCTCTGTCTACTGGGCAGATCCTGCAGAGCCAGTTAGCAGGACCTCCTCTTGTCCAGGAATGAGCGGATCCTAGGTCTTGCAGAGATGCCAGCCCAGCTCATGTGCAGGAGGGAGGCAATCTTGGGGAGAGAAGGAGAACCTTTCGCCAACATCTGGGAAGCAGAGACCCCGCCCCTGTGGGCCCCCAGGGAGTATAGCAAGAGAGGGAAGTGACTTGTGGATTGCCAGAATCTCAGGATCAGCCCCCTTTTGAGGGCCGGCTCGGTGGCTTTGGGGTTGTGCTCTGTGCTGAGAGAGGTGTCCCTCCTTCCCCCAGCATTGCACGTGTCACAGGTCTGGTCCATTCTTCTTCAACTGCCTCCTCCCTTCCGCCCCCCACGACCCCCCTGCTTCCTTCTCCTCCCTATTGCTGGGGCCACTGTGGAGCAGTGAGCTGCACTCAGCTCTCTCTTGCCAACTCCATCCTGCCCACGGCCACAGGCCACTTTGCCTGGCCTGCCACTGCCCTCCACCCTCCGAAGGTCCCTCCCTCCTGCCCTCAGAACTGACTCCAAACTCTGCACCTTGCTATTCCAAGTCCTCTACAACCACACCTCCAGCTTTCTTTCTAAAGCACTCTACCTTTTCTGTTCCAGAACTTAAACTCCAACCATAGGGGATATTTCCTCCAGGCCCTCCCCTGTCCTTTCCAACTTGAGCCTCCTCTAGAAGAATCTTTGCTATGACTGAGCTCTGGTATCCTCCAGGGTCGATGCTAACAAGGACCGGGTCATCTTGTTTTTCCCCTGGATCATTCCAAGGACCACTTGGAGTGGGGAGGCATGGGGGCAGAGACCAGTTAGAAGCTGATGCTAGGGGTTGGAGTCATTATTCTAGAACGTGCTAGGCTGCTGAGTCGGGCCCTCTGCGACAGTCAGATAAGCCCAGCTCAGCCACCAACCACCACGAGGTCCTTCCCACAGCCAGCCCCCTCTGTCAGCCACCTGCCCCCACCTTGGAGCGCCCCCTACTGGTTGGAAGTTACCCTCCCCCAAGAAAACACCACGATGAGAGATTTTAAACATGGTGTACTTTCTGCAAAAAGTCAACAATCTTACGAATGGCATTCTCCTTTCTGTAATAACATATTTAGCTGCACCTTGCATTCACAAGGCCCTCTCCTCCCCGGATTGCAGTAGCCCTTCATCTCCATGATTTGTAGGCACATGCATCAGCCAGGGAGTTAGGCAGGAGACAGACCCGCTGCCTGCAGCTTAAAAGGAATGGAACCCCGGCTGATGACAGGAAGCAACTGGCTCAAGGCCTTGCTTTAAAAAAAAGATCCCCAGTATTCAAAATAAGCCCCAAACCAGCAACAATTCAAATAACATTAAATATTACTTAAGACATAGTACATTTTTTGCATCACAAAACAGCACACTATTTGAAACTACAGTAAAATTAGTCCAGGGTCTAGCTGGGGAAGCTGGAGGAGAATAAACAGTCATTCGATTCTCATACTTGGATTGGTCTTAGTGTGGCTTGAAGAGTTCAAGTCCTCAGGGTATGAGGTTTTTGATCGAGGTGTTTCACATAATCCTGGACCCACTTCTCCTTTGGGTCAGCGCAGATAGCCTTGGCCAATTTCGTACTGAAGCTATGGATGAAAGAGGGCTGCACAGTTAGGTGGAAATCAGTGTTTTACCCAAGAGATGCCTCACTGGACTCTCAAACCTGCCTAGTCCACTCACTACAGGGGAGGTATCCTCTGTAGGGTGGGACAGGAGGAAGTTGGGGTATGGAAAGAAGGGGACTCTGGAAGCAGTCACTTTTCTCGGAGGCCCTGGAGAAGCTGGCCTGGCCTCGGCCAAAGCAACGTTGAGACTGTGAGCTAGCGCCCATTCAGGGAGCAGGTGGAGGACCCGGCCCTCTCCAGGCCTGTTTATGATGCAATCATAGTCTGGTAAAATCTTATCCCCCAAGTATAAGATCCCAAAGTGGTCTGATGCCTGTCTTCTGGGATGGAACTTTGGATCAGGGGACGTGGGAATGGGGTGTGGTCAGGTAGGGGGTGAGCAGGGTTTTTCTACCTACATGACAGCTTCCCGGGGACAGTGGCTGCTGGTGATTCGATAGCTCTCCAGCTTCCGCAAGGGGATCTTCTTATTGTTAAATATGAAACAGCAAGTGAATAGGGCACTGAGTGCATCTAGAAATAAGGTCAGAGACAAAGCCTTCTAGGAGGCGCTGGGTTTTTATCAGCTTGAATACAGCAGGAAGTGCCTGTAGGGAAAGGAAAGGAAAGAGGTCGATGTGGATCTTATCCACCTCAGGTCCAGCACTCCTGGCCCAGAGTCCTGAGACGGGGGGAGAACTAGAACATCTCAGCTGCACAGTGAGGTTGCATCGTTGCTGACCGGGGCAGGCCAGTGGGACAGGTCCTGGCTCCAGTGCTCCAGATGCAGTATTTGGGAAGCTCAACCAGGGTCAAAGAAGAGGCCCTGGGTTTGGAGCAAGCGGCTTAGGTTTTCCTCTGGCTCTGCAATGGCTGGAGGTGGGTGGGTAGGACCCCTCCTGCACCCAACTTGGCTTTCAGCTTCCTGTCTTTAAAATTAGACGTTTAAGTGAAGCTCTGAGGACTCCCACTGCTCGGATAGGCTCAGAAGTGGGGCACTTCAGCTTCAGGCTTTCTAGAAGGAGAAGAAAACAAAAAGGAGGAGAGAGAACGGGAAGGAGGGAGGGAAGGGCTTACCCGGCTGGGCGAGCACCTGGGGGCTGAAGGCGGTGGCTGCAAGCAGCAGATACAGAAGCACTGTGGAGACCTTCATGTCGGCGGGGAGTGGGGAGACTGGGCGTGAGCGAGAGCTGGGGGTGTCTGGGCCCGTCAGCTTCTCTGCAACACGAGTGGCTCTGCCAGCCTTTTAGAGGAAGCAGAGAGGGTGGGAGCTCCCAGAGGGACGTTTGCCTGGGAAGGGTCATGGTCAAGTTAAGATGCAGGGCACTCCTGAATGTGCTGAGCTGGAGGTTGGCTACCCGAGTTTTCCAGGAATTTCAAGCAGGAAGCTGCGGGCTGCTGCAGGGCAGGCACGGTTTCCTTCAGCTGCCCAGGCCACAGAGAGGAAGCCAGAGCACAGATGTGCCACCATTGGCCATGGGAGAGATCCGCGGAGCTGTCCCGTGGGTTGCTTTCTCCACAACCAGAGAAAGAGCGCTGCACGAGGGCTTTACATGGGCGATGTGTTTGGTCCTGACCGGGTATATCCCGTTATCATCATGCCCATTCACAGATGAAGACGCTGAGGCACGGGGACCTGAGGTCACTGGTCCAAAGCCTTGTGGGAAGTGAGTGGCGGTGCCAGAAGAGAAAGCTGGTCTGTCTATATACAATCACCACGGCCTTTCCCACTGTCTTGGGTGCGGAAGACTTTCTCCGAGCAGTTTTATGTGGCAGGGTCATACCTGAGACGAATCAAAGCCTGCTTCTAAAGGCAGGGGCTCCTCTTGTCACATCTTTGTGTCCCCTTCTGCCACTCAGGCCCAGAGGGCTATGGTTTGAAGCCCAATGATTTGTCCAGGCCCTTGTTTTCTGGAAGAACCATGGAGTTTCTAGAGCTCCTGCCAGGAAGGAAGTTGCAGGGTAGAGCAGAGTGGGCTCTTTGCTTCTGTGCCTGCCACCCCTCCCCCCTGCATGTAGCTGAGCTGGAGCTTGGGGTGGGCGTCCCCATGGGCCGGGTGGGAGGGGGGCAGCTTTGGACTGCAGGATACCACCTGGCAGGACACTTGGCCTGAGCGGTCCATTCCATGCTCCCTCCCGGCTCCCAGACTTTGCTTATTATGCTTTACACCTGCCTGGAATCGTTTTCCCTCGGCTTTCTAGTCTAGTGGGTCTTTCCCCTCTAGCAAAACAAGTCCGGTGAGGGTAAAAGCACAGAAATAAAAAGCTAGGATTAGTGAAACAGAAAATCATATGCACTAGAAAGGATGGATGGATGCCCAAAGTCAGTTCTTGGACAAGCCTCTAATGCTCTCCCGAGACTGACCACGGAAAAAAGCAAAAAGCACAGATTGTCACAGCAGGACAAAGGAAGAGGGTGTCGCCACAGAGCCCATGGACTCCAGAAGGAAAATTGGACGCTTATGCCAATAAATTTAATTTAGATGAAATGGATGATTTCCTAAAAAATATAACTTACCAGACTGCCAAAGAAAAATGAAAAAAAAAAAAGAGTAATTCTAAAACTACTGAAAAAATGGAATCAGTCATTGAAAATCCTCCCACAAAACATCCTCTGGCTCCAAAGGCTTTAATAGCTAGTTCCTTCAAGCATTCCAAAAATGAATAATTTCAGTCTTACACAATTTGTTCCCGAGAAAATCAAAAGTGTGCACTCCAACTCATGTTATGAGTCTTACGTAACTTTGACACAAACACTTGTCAAGAGTGACATGAGAAAGGAAACTTGTCCCTCCGGACACACATTCCATTCTTGTCCATCCTCTTCTCTGGCCCAGGAAGCCAACCTGTGTGGATTGGATCAGCTGGACTGCAGGTCTTCTGGCTTCAGCTTGGGCTTGGGCACTAGGGAGCTCCTCGAGGTGTGGGAGAGAGAGAAGAGTAAGGTGAGGGGCTGTGGGCCTCAGCCTGGATGCAGCTTCCAACCAATGGCTTTCATTTCTCTCTGGGGGGCAAGGTGGGGAGGGTATCCCCCGTCCTTTCGTCCTTGGGTCTAGGGGCAGTCCCCACATTGTTACTAGCCTCAGAGTACTAAAACACCCCTTTGGTTTCTCCACACTCAGCCCACATCTTGCTAAACAACCTCTTTATCAATCCGTTCCCAGATCATTCAAATTTAAGTGTAATCTATTCTTTACTAGGACCCTGACTGGCATAGGTTTGGGTCCAGGACCAGAAGCTGCTCCTGGAAATTGTCCTTCTACATGGGATTCTGGGATTGGGTTGCTCATCTATTTTAGAAGCACCATAAAAGCATCTGTTGGCATCATGATTACTTAAAGCGTCACAGGTAGTTGTGTGGCTGACTGTGTTCTAACAAGCCCGCAGGTGATTCTGCTGTGCACTCAAGTTTGAGATCCACGGAGTTACAGCATATCCCATGGCCATCTCTGATCTATAGCGACGTCACCAGAGAACCCTGACAAAGGACCTGTCTGTGGGCCTTCCCGGGGAGTGCAGTTAGTGGATGGCTGAGCAGCTTGAGCATATAGATCCATTGCAACAGATCCACCCCTGGGCCTTTGGACTCCTTCCTACCATCCCCAGGAAGTCCCAGCATTACAGCTTCATTAACTGCAGGCTTCTTCTTCTTCTTTTTTTTTTTTAAGATTTATTTATTTATTTGTCTCAGAGAGGGAGAGAGGGAGAGAGCACAAGCAGGGAGAGTGGCAGGCAGAGGGAGAAGCAGACTCTCCGCTGAGCAAGGAGCTGATGCAGGGCTTGATCCCAGGACCCCGGGATCATGACCTGAGATGAAGGCAGATGCTTAATGACTGAGCCACCCAGGCGCCCCTGCGGGCTTCTTTTTAAGCCTAGACTCCAATCAGCCCACCTAACCGAGCATTAAGTGCCAACACACTGAATCCCGAATTTTCAGCAAGTATGCTTATATCAATGAATTGGACTGCCTGAGCTTTGTGGTTATCCCCACTAGGAGCCACTCCTACACATGCACCCTGAACTTCCCTCCAAATTGAGTGGGTAAAGGGACATCCAAACCCTCCTGGCTGTAAGGACTCCTGTCTGTCCTTCCCTCTGCTTCAGGACCTGATATCTCAGAGGGGTTTAGGAGCCTGGGATCTGGGCTCAGCCAGACATGGCTTCAAGTCTAGATCCACCATTCACTGGTTATGTGATGTGGAGCACAGTGCTTACCTCTCTGAGCCTCTAAGAGGAAACTGATGGTTAATTATTACCTCATTCTGATGTCAGAGTTGAAGAAGATAATGCACGCCAAGTGCTCAGCACGGTGCCAATAACCTCCATTTCCAACGAGTAACCAGCTGATGCTCATCGTGTCCCCGGTCTGGGGTCCATGCTGGGGCACCCATGCTGTAATCTAGGTTTGGATCTTGGTGGGAGGAGTGGGATCCAGGATAGGTGAGGCTGGACAGTGCTGCTTAATGAGCAGCAGAGACAAGGTGGGTACGATTACCCCAAGGAGCCCCAGGGATCTGTGGCAGCGATTATGGGATCCCTAGACATGAAATGGATGGGAGGCTTACTAAGATGCAGCTTGACTTTAGGCAGAAAATTTTAGGTTTCATGGACAGAAAGCTAATATAAGTTCTTGTAGGAGAGATCCAGGGCCTCTTACCCAGTTATCAGAACTAAGCCAGTTCAGAGACTTGGAATCCCCAGACCAGGAAGACCAGGAAGGGCCCTGCAATGCCAGGTTGCCAGGTGAAATACAGGATAGTTGGTTAAATTTGAGTTTCAATAAACAGTGAGTAATTTTTTTCAGCATAACTTTGCCCTTGGCAATATTTTTGCTCAATCTGGAAACTCATAGGCTTCGCTAAGCCTTCCCCAGAGGAGCCTGCTGTCATAGAACCAGGGTGACCCTGCACTGGGGAAAGAAATCCTGAGACCTTCTGGGATTATCTGATGATGGTTCCAAATGGATGGTATCCTCTGGAGACCTGAAAATCCACTCAGGCCCACCGGTCAGAGTAGGAGCTTATGGAGATCAGACGCCAGTTACTCAGTTATGTTTAGAGCAGACGTTCAGCTAGCTCTTTTTCAGCTCAATGATCTTTATACAATAGAAGTCTCCCAGAACTGCAGAATCTGTAAGTTTAGAATCACTTTGTTGCTGCAGCGTCTTGGCATGCAAGCATCCTACAAGCTGCCTCTAGTAGCCCCAGGGAGTCTTAGCGCCCTGCCCTCTTAGATCAGCGCATACTGGAACTGGCTTCACTACGCAATGTTGTGGTTTTCAGAGGTTTGTTTACCCACTGAAGTCTATTCTCATGGAATAACTTATTGGCAAGCTGTGATCTACCACCGCTGAAAACTAAAACTGTTCAGGGAAGCAGAGCTGGGACACCCTGGACTTACGCTTCTCCGTGTCCATCTCATTTTGTTCTTAAAGCTCGAAGGAATATTCAGATAGTACAATCTTTCCACTTTACAGACAGATCTCTGACTGCAGGAGTGGCTAATGAGCAGGGAGTGAGCCAACACTAACTGGCATTCTCTGCCCCTCTGCCCCCCAGGCTGGCTCTCTCCAGAGAATGGCAAGCCTACAGAGGAAGAGAATACCACATTTGTGGCCCTGGAGGACGGAGGTCCCTCCACCACTCCCCAAAACAGTGCAAGACTGCTTCCTTACTCCTCCCTTCACACCACCTTCTCTCCTATCTCTGTATTTGCTTATAGTATCCCATGGAATCATTTGAGGCCTGGCTTAAATTGTGTCTGGTCATGGGAATACCTGGGTGGCTCAGTCTGTTAAGCATCTGCCTGTGGCTGGCTCAGGTCATGATCCCGGGGTCCTGGGATTGAGTACCAAGTTGGGCTTCCTGCTCAGCAGGGAGCCTGCTTCTCTCTCTGCTTGCTGCTCCCCCTGCTTGTGCTCACTCACTCTCTCTCTGACAAATAAATAAAATCTTTAAAAAAATTGTATCTGGTTGTGCAGGCTTCCAGCCTACACAGATTTCACAGGGGACAAAAGCTTGCTCTGAAATGGATGGTTTAAAATTTTTTCTTAAATAGAAAACCGAAGGACAAACCATAAAGGAACATACTGATAAATGGACCATATTAAAATTAGGAGACTGTTTTCATGGAAAGGCATCTTTAAGGGAGTGG